TTGATAATAATCATGAACTATATAAGGTATAGCCGGATTGGGGAGGTGGGCACCTCCCCAGACATCGTTTTGCACCGCCCCTGAGAATTCTTGCACCTCCCCTGAGATCGTTTTGTAGTTTCCCTGAGAATTTTTGCACCTCCCCTGAAAAGTCATGCACATCTCCTTGGGAAAGTTTCAATTATAGATCAAAGTGAAAATTTGACATTTTTTTGTTGCGTAGGGTCTACACTTCGAAAGAAAGTTTTTCTGTAAAATTGAAACAGTGATAGCCACTCATCTCTGTATCAAGTACTCTTTTTAATCCAATGTTTTGAAAGAAACTTTGTAGTAATTGTAACGAGCTGTATACAGACTATATCATAACTCATTAATACGCTGATACATATGTACATGCACTACATTCATACGTCACGTCGTTGACTTTGGCCCGTTCTAAGCCCTAACTTTCCATGCACGGGGGTTGTGAGCTAGACTGCTGCACCGCCCCTATATTTTTTTCCACCTCCCCCAATATTTCCACCAAAATCCGGCCTTGATATAAGGGAAAGTGTATAACCTCATAAAATTTTACCTGCCTCCAACACAACACCCGAGAAATCCAAGGGCCACAATCTCAGGTAACCATCATCGGATCCAGTCACACAAAATGCTTCATTCACAGATAGACAATTAATTCCAATCCCAAACTCACTGGTCACTTCAACGATATCTTGTCGGCTGCCAGTCGGAAGTAACCGTCGGACTTTGTGAACGACAATAAGTTCGTAGTTGATTTCAAATACCGTACCAAGTTTGGAAGAGATGTAGCTAAACATGGAGTTCAACGTATAAGTACAGTAGGATTCACTCTACCTACACTGGGCCACCACGTTCGAGATATCTTTTTCAGATAATTCAGACACAAACCACGGCAGCTTATTGTACACACGTAAAAACGCACAAGTTGTTACAAGTCTGCAAACAAGTTGTTACAAATCTGTTCACAAGCTGTCGACAAGTTGTGTTCGCACTACTTGTTCCCAGTTGTTGTAACAAGTTTGGAACAAGCTGTTAACAACTTGTAACAAGCTTGATTGCATTATCAGACTTGTTAAAAGGTTGCTCTAACAAGTCTGATACAGTCATGATATAACAGGAATGTTACAAGTTTGACGACACAAGGTTGTAACAATATTGTTATGTCATGACTGTATCTGACTTGTTGGAACAACCTTGCAACAAGGTTGTTAAAAGTTGTTAACAGCTTGTTCCAAACTTGTTGACAACTTGAGACAAGCAATGCGAACACAACTTGTTGACGGCTTGTTGACAGACTTGTTACACGATGCGAGATTTTTACACGTGTAGAATACTGTACTACCTAGACTGGGCCCCACATGTGATTCACATGAATTCATCAACTTACATCACTCTCTGTTTCTTATTATTGCCATCTACAGTCTCGTGTCCAAAACAAAAGTCAGTAAACTCGATCGAGTGATGGCTGCCAAGGTCGACTGGACAAGAACGTAATGAAGCATGTCGCACTCTCCAGAATCTTATATTATCACGACCGCACGATATCATCCTGTACAGGTGGAGAAATAGCAATCTGAGAGGGTAACTACACGAAGAAATCTAAAACTAACTAAACTCATTTTATCTAAACTGGATAGTTGATAGTTATATCTGTTCTCCGTAGAGGCGCAGTAAGGATCATCGCTTCTTTGTCCAGTATTACTAATAGCTACTACCTAAACTAACTTCATATATACTGGGTAGTTCTGTCCGTTCTAAACTGTTCTCCCTAAAGTAAGTGTCATCTCTTATTGATCCAGTGTTACTACCGGAAGAAATCTGAACTTAACTGACTTTATTTAAACTGGATAGTTCTATGTTTCCTAGACTGTTGTCTGTAGAGGTCCGGTAAGGATCATCTCCTATTGATCAAGTGTTACTACAGGAAGAAACCTACAGTACTGTAACTGTATTTATACTGGATAACTCTATCTGCAGTGTTCTCCCTAGAGCGCCAGTAAGAGCCTTCAACGATTGATCCAGTGTTACTACAGGAGGAAATCTAATGCTCTAACCTTGTATCATCAAAAGGAGCGATCTTGATCCTAGAAATATCCACATCCGTATGAGCCTTGGCAATGACAGAGACCTCGCCAGATTTACCACATCGGGATGTGTCCCACACTACAACCATCTACATGTTGGTACAGAAAAGATGTTAAATTATTAAGTACGCAGAAGCAATTTCATCTGAGATAAATATTCTTAAATCACTAACTTGTTTTCCATGGCTATCTTTACCACTTCCGCACAATACTCCACCGCTGTTGGAAAAACTGAAAAAGAAATCGCCAGAGTTACTAAATCAAATGTGGGGTCCTGTATTCTACAATAAGCTATCGTGGTTTGTGTCTGAACTACCTGAAAAACATATCTCAAACGTGGTGGTCCAGTGTAGGTAGTATTCTACAATAAGCTGTCGTGGTTTGTGTCTGAACTACCTGAAAAAGATATCTCAAACGTGGTGGTCCAGTGTAGGTAGTATTCTACAATAAGCTGTCGTGGTTTGTGTCTGAACTACCTGAAAAAGATATCTCAAACGTGGTGGCCCAGTGTAGGTAGTATTGTACAATAAGCTGTCGTGGTTTGTGTCTCAATACGTAAAAAGATGAAAACCACAGTAGCATAAGCGTACCTGAGACAATGAAGTGATCGAACTTGTGAGTTAAATATTGCAATGCAATCTCCTGAATGATATCTCCATATACGAATGACTGTGGACTGACCCAGCTGTCCTGAAGCAAGGATTGATGTATTCCCATTGAATGTTAGAGATGAGACCTGGAGAAAGCTCTTATTGATAAATATCTGGCATTGTAGCATACCGTGGAACAAGTTGGCATCTTGAATTAATACACTAACAAACGACACTGACAATTGTATTAAAAAACCCAACCGAGTGTTTAACGCAAACCTTATCAGTATGGCCAATAAAAAAACGTTGATGTCCAGTTGATATTTCCATAGACACGATAACAGCATGACAAGGATATACTACACATGCGCCGTTCTTTGTCCAGAGCACCTCTCTGAATGTGGCACCGCCATAACCAACAATACGCTTCAGTTTTAGAATTGGATCTGGTTTCAGACTCTAAAAAGATAGGGAGGTTCGAAATGAGACTACGAGTTTGGATCGCTAAAATTATTTTTGGAAAGTTATGACGATTGGACAATAGGTTTCCAAGCTGCGTAAACCGTGGCCTTTAGCCTATGTGACCAAAATACGATTCTTACAAATATACAGTTGTTTGATTATAATCTCGCCTCGATTGTCGCATGGGAGACGAGTTCCTCCAGTTTGACTGTACCAAACATTGGTGGACTTGAATAACTTAGATTCTTGCATTTCACTTGGTGGAATTAATATTAGGATGTTAGGGTTTGTAATCCAAGTGAGAATATATACATTTTTAAGACCTAACCAGTAACGACTGCGAAAAATGCAGCACAAGGTCCTCTGGTAGGAATCGAACCTACGGCCCTGCGATTCCGGAGCAGCGCTCTAACCAACTGAGCTACAGAGGCCAGTTGTTGAGCTGTAACCGTAAGTTCATGTATATATAGGTAATCGGGTGTGCGGGTTGTAATAAGGTGGACTTGAATAACTTAGATTCTTGCACTTCACTTGGTGGAATTAATATTAGGATGTTAGGGATATTAGGATGTTGTTATATTACCCATTTATAATATAGCGTTTGTAAATTCTGAACGCTGATTGGCTAAGAGCCGTGTTGATATAACTCAATGTCAACACGGGAAATTTTCCGCCGCTTGTAAACACGAAATTTTTCTTATCCTTCGGGCTTTTGACATTGCTATATTATAAAAAAAATATAAAACATTTTTCCGTGTTGATATATAGTTATATCAACACTCGTGGAAGTTGGGAGAACTCGAAATTGTATGAAAACACTCCGCCCTTCGGGCGTCGTGTTTCCACACAATTTCTCGTTTTCCCAATTCCACTCGTGTTGATATAACTGTATATCAACACGGAAAATGTTTTATATTTGTTAAATATACATGAACTTACTGTTACAGCTTAACAGCTGGCCTCTTTAGCTCAGTTGGTTAAAGCGCTGCACCGGAATCGCAGGGTCGGAACAGCATTGTAACAGCATTGCTACAAGTCTGCTGCAGGTTTGTTACAACTTGTGTGTATTTTACATGTGTACTGAGGTTTCCTCCTAATAATAGCAACAAAGGACAACACCATCATATATGACTTGCCTTGAAGCCACGTCTTGTCGTCAGAGGTCTATCTTGTTTGTTTGGCTCAACGTTCTGTGAAAACTTTATTTTCTGAAAAATGCGCACAGAAATATTAAGGTTCTCATTCAACAGATGGTGAAACAAGTGGTGGTCAAGCAGCAACTATCAGTGTTTTGGCTGTTCAGGGGGTCATCAAACATATTATTTGATACTTTACACAACTGAGGCATGTTTTCTATGGTCCATTGAGTGAACCAGACGTTATTTTAAAACAGCCATAACTCTTTGATTCCATTTGACCATTTTTCTTAATTTTAGTGTCAAAATTCGTCTCTTAAAGAGAAATGGCAATATTAATTTTTATTTTCTCATTTGAAAGAACTTTTGAAACTATATATTAACTTCTTTTACCGATTTTTCATATCTTGCTTAGTTCTTGAAATATTTTCACTTGAAGTAACTTGTCACTTGAATTTTAATCTAAAAGTATTTGTTGCTGACCAAATATTGATTGGTAGATGTTTTAAATGATTAGTGGTTGTCAAGATACAAATATTGCGTGATTCCTGCTGTGACATGCATATCTACTGTACACAAATTAAAGATGCCGGACATTTCATTCCTTTCGATCAAAATATTTGTAGAAGTAAGCAAGATACGAAAAAACGGTAAAAGAGTATTATATATACAGTAGTCTTAAAAGTTCTTTCAAATGAGAAAATAAAATTTAAATATATTGCCATTTCCCTTTAAATTGAATTTTCCAAGCTAAAATCTGAAACACAGCTATTGCATTTTTAGGACACCTGCTACATGTATAATTGTTATATACAATAAAAACTAGTTCTCACTTTTTTATCCTTGATCACTCGTGGTTTTACAGCAGTAGATTGATCCTTGCGAGGTAAGTTCATTTTGGGGGAAGATTTATAAGCATAAACCTGAGTGTCTAGATGATCGTTTGCTTGAACACCAACTGGGACATCTAAGCCAGCTGCAGGCACATGAGTTGCTACAACCTGTCTTCTCTGAATAAAAGAAAATATCCCAGTAGTAATGATGGTGGGTTGTGATGATGATCATGGTAATTATCATGGTGGTGATGACGGGCTGATGATGGTCAGGGCTCGACGAATCGAAGTAGAGAAAAATATGGCCTGCCAGTCAAAATTTTTTTGGCAGGTGAAATAAATTTTAGCCTGCCATTTTTATTCACTGAACTGCCAAGATAGCGATGTCTCATATGAGTCATATTGTAAAAATCAATGTTTTCATGATATGCATTTTTATTATTATTATTATAACTTGTCTATTTTACTACAGTAAACTTGGATTCACATTTCATATATACACGTATTTAGTCAACTAAATGATCTAGTATATATGAGTTGTGGTAAGCAAATGAAATGAAATATATCTATAGAATTTCACCTGCCATTTTTTTTTACTTGGCAGTTCAAATTTGTTTTTGTCTGCCATTTCTAAATTATGGCCTGCTTTTGGCCATTGGCAGCCCACTATTTCAAGCACTGAATAGACCCATTGCACTGACGTCACAAATCCTTACAGTGTCCTCCAGATGCTCCCTAACAATATTGGGTACAACAACCACATACATCATAAAAATTAACCACTTTAATAGAAAATGATTATAAAGTTTTACCAAATTTCCTTTGGTTACAAAAGTTATATTATGCATAGATTGCTACTTTGTCCTCCAGATGCATCGTCACCGGCTCTGTGACGTCATGTGCAATGGATCTATTGATGGTGATCATGATAGTTGTTCTATTCAAATTCACATCCACTATATAATTCCTCGTACCTTTCCCGCACTTTTTTTGGGACTAAGTTTGTCCACTAAAGCAACTCGTGACGATACAGCCTGATGTTGCTAAATGAAAAATAGATTTTATTCATTTTAGTAATCAACACAGCCGTAAACTTTCAGTGATAAACAAGTTAAATTTACACGTTTTTGCCTGTACATGTAGAGAGGGCTATCCGTATTTAGAGAGGGCTATCCATATTTAGAGAGGGCTGTCCGTATTTGAGGGGGCTGTCCGTATTAGAGAGAGCTGTCCGTATTAGAGAGGGCTGTCCGTATTAGAGAGGGCTGTTCGCATTAGAGAGGGCTGTCCGTATTAGAGAGGGCTGTCCGTATTAGAGAGGGCTGTTCGCATTAGAGAGGGCTGTCCGTATTAGAGAGGGCTGTCCGTATTAGAGAGGGCTGTCCGTATTTGAGGGGGCTGTCCGTATTAGAGAGAGCTGTCCGTATTAGAGAGGGCTGTCCGTATTAGAGAGGGCTGTCCCTATTTGAGAGGTGTCTGTATTATTAACTGCACTTACTTTATTGCTTTTGTCATCAAATGTAGGTTGACCAGATTCGTCTGGGAACGGCTTGTCTTTAAAATCCATACCATCTCCATGAATTATGCCTTTCTTTACTGGCTTTCTTTTTCCAGGAAATTTAATAACGTCGTAAAGCTCATCCCAGTCCATCCCCTTCGGCACATGAAATGCCATGTCCCTCGGCACTGGTACATATCCTGTTGACATCAATCCTAGTTTCCTGGCCTCGTTTATAGAGAGTCCAGGTTCATAATCTGTGTCACTTGTGAAGAGCCCTTTGACCAACATGTTTGCACAGAGGCGAATGTTTTTTAAGTATGCATATTTTTGATTGAGGTAGAATGAGACTATGTACTGTAGGTCCAGCATCAGGAATGTGTAACGTGTACCAATGGAGACATGACCAAGACTGTCTGTGGGGTAAGAGACAAAGATTTTAGTATGGGGTGGCGGACGGGGGAGGGCTGTGATCAGGGCTCGAATTTTATCGCGGCAATTGCCGTAGAGGGAGAACAAAATGCCGTGGATCATTGCGGCAACGACGGCAATTTTTTGCCGTATAGTGCAATTTTTATACTATTCACTGTGCATTACAAATCATGCGTAAATCACTATTTTAGTCTCAGTTTTCTTCGAACTAAAAACACTAAAGAAATACGTAGACATTTTTCTAGCTTGTCAAAAATCCAAAGTAACAATAAAATTAAAGTTTTATTACAGTAATTTGAAAAATGCCGTGGAAAATGCCAAAATTGCCGTAGACAGCTGTTACGTTCTACGGCAATTTTTAACGCCATTGCCGTCGATTGATTTCAGGGAAATTCGAGGCCTGGCTGTGATGGTGGTGATTGTCATGTTGTTGATAATGGTCATGGTGAGGATAGTGGTGATAATGGTGATTGCTGTGGTAAGATGGTAGCGATGATGGTGGTGATCATGATGGTGGTGGTAGTGATGGTGACAATGACAGTAGTGATGATAGTGCTGGCCATGATGGTAATTGTGATGATGATTGTGGAGATGGTAGTCATCATGGTGATGATGACAATAATGGTGGTGATTATGGTGGTGATCATTGTGGTGGTGGTGATGACAATGATGGTAGTGATGATGGTAATCATGGTGATAATGGTGATCATAGTGATGATCATGGTGATCGTGATGGGGATCATGGTGATCGTGATGGGGATCATGGTGATCGTGATGGGGATCATGGTGATCATGTGATCATGTGATCATGATGGTGATCATGATGGTTATCATGGTGGTGATCATGGTGATGGTGATCATGATGGTGATCATGATGGTGATCATGATGGTGATCATGATGGTGATCATGGTGATCATGATGGTGATCATGATGGTAATCATGATGGTGATTATGGTGATGATCATGATGGTGATCATGATGGTGATCATGATGGTGATCATGATGATGATCATGGTGATGACCATGGTGGTGATCATGGTGGTGATCATGATGGTGATCATGATCATGATGGTGATCATGGTGATAGTAACAGTAATGACAATGATGGTGGTGCTGATTATGATGACTGTGATCAAACCAGGCTTAACAAGGAAGTTGTCACAGAGATGAATGCTTTTTATTAAGTGTGTTTTTATTCACAAACCATCACAAATGTGTACCATACATATATACAAATTAAGATTGGACAAAATTGTCTGTGGAATTGAGAGATAAAGATTTTAGTATCATAATGGTGATTTGATAGCAATGGTTATGATGGTAGAAGATGGTGGTGATTCTAACAGTAATTAGTGGTGGTGATAATGGCAGCTGTGTTCATTCTTTCAATAAACCAAATACAATAAATATTGTTACCATACCATGACTAGTAGAACTGGCTAATATTGCCTCATCGACTGAACCAGGTGGTGGGCGGGGCACAAATGGAAATTGCAACCAAGTTGATGTAGACTTGAATTCTTTAAATAAGTTTGAAAACGAGATCCGTACTGCCAAACCATCCTCTGTGGCAATGTCGATGTGGGCAACAAAATATTTCCCTGATATTGGTTTAAATAATAGGTAAAGGTATCGGCCAGTGAGGCTGAGCGATTGCGTTGACGTTCGTGGGAACTGTATGTAGTTTCCAGCAGGAATTGAACCAGTGATACGATATACTGTGCATTTCAACTGCTTGTCCTGAATGAGGCAAATGTTTATAAACATAGTCATATAAACTAGAAACTACGTTTATTTACACAGACTGTCTCAGTTCTAACCCGCAAAATTTCGGCATTATACACCGTTTTTACAATTACGTTTAGCCAGTAATTTCACAATTTAAATCCGCCAAAAACGTAACTATTATATATATAAAAGATTGTTCAACTTCAAAATTTTGCTCAACAAAAATCGAGTACCAGACAAGTGTTGCAAGGATGTCATTTGATGTATTTGTATTTGTCAATTTTTAGTACGGCAAAACAGTATTGTCACGTGACTTGCACTTCAAAAGTTTCAATTTAGCTCAGCTGGAGCTAGGCCACGAGAACGTCACTTAAGAAACACAATGTTCCTTAACTCCGGTCTGAATGTCGCAGGCTAACTGAAATTCCCAATTTCGTTAAATTGCCGAATAACACACTGAGGTCAGCTATGTTTTGCTGATCTGAAACAAAAGCAGGTCAGCAAATTTATGTTTTCAATAAAATGTTTCAGAAATTTCTTAAAAGTGATTGATTGGATAATTTTGCTACCATTGTCAGTTGAATTCACTTCAGAAAAGTGTAACTTTTTGCCAACCCTGACATGACGAAAAGTCAGCAGCCAATCAGGTTGGCGTTTATCGATTGCCGACCTGAATTTCGAGGTCTGTATACCTGTAGTGCTTAGTGGAAGCACTCTTCTCACATCATCACATGCAATTGAACCTCACTTTCATTGGTGAAAACAGAATGTGTATACACTATGTCTCCAACAGCACAATACAATAGACAGGTAAACTTTGTTTACAAATAATCTTGGCTGTCAGTATGCACGGACATGTAATTTTGAATAAGTCTTGCAACGTAAGTTCACCTAACAACACAACACATCAAACCATAGGCAGCCCAAAAATGCATGGTGAAAATATTTACCCTTGCGCATCATGATGCTCGGGCGTGCATCGACTCTACTTTGTTTATTATTATGATGTCATAATAATAAACAAAATACTTAATAGACTCAATGCACGCCATTGCATTTTTGGCCTGCCAATGCTCAAATGTGCTAAAGCATTCAAAATAGCAATTTCCGGCGCAAAATTAAAACAAATTATTATATTACCCGTGACCCGTCTTAATTTATAATCATTTCAACAGAATTTAAGACCCCAAAACCGTACCATAACAGGAGTGACTTCTCCTTCTTTGGCACATTTCTTCCATTCTGAGATGTTGTAGTGTTTAAATATGTTCACATAAGGATGCTGCCACACTATAAACGAAAAAAACTCCCAATAAACCTTTGATTCTTTGAAGTTCAATTGTTGTCAAAATTTTGTTCAAATTGTACATTGAAATACGCTTTATTCATTGTCATCGCTCACAATAAACAATTCACTTACACTTGGACATTACGCAGCTTGCTTAGTTCACCCACAACCAAGACGAAAGCGTTTTAAAATCGAAGAAAGTAAAAGTATTTTTCCCTTCCTGGCTGCCGCCATTTTTTAAATTTTTTAGTTTCTTGACCACGAAGCTTATTGCGCATGAGCAGATGGCGAAGGTGGAAGCACGAAGCAATTTCAGTTTTTCAATTTTCAAAGATCATAACAAAGATGTCGTCGCGTCCTAGACAACCAGTTGCGAAGGGTGGCCTTTGGGCTCCTTCTAGGCAGCCTGTGAGCAAAGGAACGCAAGATTTACTTAAAGGTATATTGTACATTACATATGTTATCGATTGAAGGTTTTTTCCTGTGGTATAACCTAATTTCCTGCCAAATTTCTCCTCTAGTTATGATGCAAGAGTCAAAGCTGACCAATTTTCAACAAAGACAGCTAAGTGACCGCTTGAAAGGTTAGGAAATTTGGTCGAAGTTTATTTTTTGTCTCCTTGTTCGATTAAAAGTCGTTTCTTTAGAAACTACATCGAAAAACAATTCAAAAGATATTGTTCTCGCAGTCGGTGTTTCCACTTGTTAAAATAAAAATTTCCTTGAAATTGTTTCAAGATCTTAATTTTGCCTATGATTTTGGCATAACTGGTGCAATGACACCACCATGTTGTCACCATGTTCCTAGCCAGTGTGGTTATGAGAGCCAGTCACCCCCCTGAAAATATTCAATATGGTGGATCTTCAGGGGGGGGGTGAATGCCTCTCATAAGCATACTGGCTTGGAACATTGCGAGTGCATTTTGATGACGAATCATGATGTACATGGTGGTGGTTCAGTGGTGGATTTAGGGGGGGGGGGGAGAACTGGGGGTCAACAGGGGTGTATGGGGGGTGGGTGCAAAAATGATGTTTATCCCAATTGCGTATCATTAATAGACAATAGCGGAATAGCCAATATTAAATATTCTGAATTTGTAAATGTTTTGAGAATCTAAAAATTTTCTCAGAATGCTGGAAATGCCATTTCAGAGACCCAAATTTTCCGGGGGAGTATGCCCCCGGACCAGCCTAGAAATCTCACACCTTTGGCGCTTGTTCCGCCATTGGTTAGCACCCGCCCAAAAAAACTGCTGGATCCATCACTGTGGTAGTTATGCTTTTTTGGCTCAGTCGGCCTTCTATAAGATCTCTATTCTGTGCATGCTCCTAGCCAGTGCACTTATGAGAGGCATTCATGCCCCTTAAAACACTCGACACGCCAGAGAATTTTACTTGTCAAGGGGAGAGTGCTGCTGCTCAATGGCTTAACCAAAAATATCTGCCTTGTTAACCACACCCTACTTTGTTATAAATTGAACTAAACATTTGATTTTGCCAGGTGGGGATTCATTTCCAACGGATGTTAATCCAACCAGTAGCGCGAGGAAAGAGGCTCGTAATACATCATCAGCAAAGTCGGCTGGCAAGGCTAGGGACGGAAGACAATTGACCGGCGCTGGTAAACGTTCTCAAGCCGACATAGAGAAGAGGGTGGCAAACGATGAAGAGGACCCATATAGACCTCCTCCTGGAAGTATGTTTGTGGTTCTTTATACCACCTTCACAAAAGATTTTCCCTGTGTACCTTTTCGCAAACGATTTTCCCTGTGTACCAAGTTAGTTCAGTTCAAGGTTTCCTGCTGTAGTGACACTCAGAATCAATAAGAGATGATCCTTACTGGACCTCTAGGAAGAACAGTTTAGAACTGATAGAGCTATCCAGTATAAATAAAGTTAGTTTAGTTTAGGTTTCCTCCTGTAGTAACACTGGATCAATAAGAGATGATTCTTACTGGACCTCTAGGAAGAACAGTTTAGAACTGATAGAGCTATCCAGTATAAATAAAGTTAGTTTAGTTTAGGTTTCCTCCCGTAGTAACACTGGATCAATAAGAGATGATTCTTACTGGACCTCTAGGAAGAACAGTTTAGAACTGATAGAGCTATCCAGTATAAATAAAGTTAGTTTAGTTTAGGTTTCCTCCTGTAGTAACACTGGATCAATAAGAGATGATTCTTACTGGAACTCTAGGAAGAACAGTTTAGAACTGATAGAGCTATCCAATATAAATAAAGTTAGTTTAGTTTAGGTTTCCTCCTGTAGTAACACTGGATCAATAAGAGATGATTCTTACTGGACCTCTAGGAAGAACAGTTTAGAACTGATAGAGCTATCCAGTATAAATAAAGTTAGTTTAGTTTAGGTTTCCTCCTGTAGTAACACTGGATCAATAAGAGACGATTCTTACTGGACCTCTAGGAAGAACAGTTTAGAACTGATAGAGCTATCCAGTATAAATAAATAAAGTTAGTTTAGTTTAGGTTTCCTCCTGTAGTAACACTGGATCAATAAGAGATGATTCTTACTGGACATCTAGGGAGAACAGTTTAGAACGGATAGAGCTATCCAGCATAAATAAAGTTAGTTTAGGTTTCCTCCTGTAGTGACACTGGACCAAAATAGATGGCTCTTACTGCATCCCTAGAGAGAATGGTTTAGAACTCGTAAAGCTGCATCCATGATAAAGTTCGTTTAATTTGAGGTTCTTTCTGTACTCTATAGAATATATATCAGAGAAAGACAAGAGACTGTTACAAAACACGATGGCCTATGGCGAGGAAGGAGCAGCCATGATCGAGGAAACGCCAAGACCAAGGAAACCTAAACGAGAAGTTAAACCCGAACCTGAAATTGATCGTTTTGATGAAGGTAAGCCTGGAGCTTCTGCTGACCAGGTGCGTTCAATCCTACTACTCTGATCAGGGATTAACTATTTCATTTCTCTTCAGTGGTTCAACTAATCGAAGAACGAAAACAATTCTTGGACGATATGGAGAAACTTGGTCAGGGCAAAAAATATCGGAATATCATAGCTGCTGATATTTCCCAGGTATACAGCATCGACTAGCTTGTGTAAAATATGTACAATTTTGTATCTGAATGTTGCTATCCAAAGTACTTTTTCTGATAACTCATGTGCCTAGTTACCATTGTTCTGATAATGTAAGCATATTAGAATGGAACAAAGGTAACCAAACATTTAAATTGTATATGTGAGATACTAGTTCAAATCCGACTATGAGGACTGGACCAGATTTCAAGTCCGCGCAATTTGATCAATGACATCTCGTACGAATAAATCAATACTTAATTAATTTTGATCCATTCCTAGGACTGGATCAATGTACTTCATCAGGTATCCAGTATTATCATGTGAGCAAAATATAGCGATATGGTTGGCTAATTTATCATGAATTATTAATGTGTTTGAGATTGAATTGATAACTCACATGCCTAGTTACCACCGTTCTGATAATGTAAGCATTGAATGCAACAAAGATAACGAATTATTGAAATTGTGTATGAGTGAATTAGGTGGTAAATGCATAAATATGTGTTGGCCAATTAGGTCTATTTAATACTATTCTTTTTCACTGTATAATTTTAATATATTATTAATTTTTTTATTTATTTATTTCTGTTTTAGGGAATACGAGAACTTGAGCTTATCGATAAGAAACGAAGCGAGGATCTTAATCTCGCGCTAGAAAAAGACACATCAACGGACGGCTAGTGCGACCGATCTAAATTTAGTTTAATGCCACAATTTAATGTACATTGCTCGAGGAAACGCTGCCATATTAGGAAATTTAGTTCTAGTTTATTTCCATTATACTTTACTAGAAATACAGCAGAATAAGTAAGATTGTGCGTGAAATTCGACCTGGTACAATAAACTCATGAATTACATCCCACACAATATGAAGTGACATTTTTAATTTTTATATATTACCAAACAGGCTGGATATTTTACTTTTAATTGTAAATATTAAATTTATGTAAATTAGCTTAATATATTGTGAGGAAATATATGATTTAAGAGATGCACACGGTAGTCTAAGTTTTATGTATTATTAATTTCCTTAACTGTCTTAATTACAATAATTAATATTTTAATTTAATAACCACAGTTATGATGCTAGTGATTTTGGTGGTGAGTATGATGGTTATATGATGATGACGATGGTGATGATGATGGTGGTAATGGTAATGATGGTAATGATGGTGATGGTGGTGGTATGGTGATGGTAATGATGGTGATGGTGGAAGTAATGATGGTGATGGTAATGATGGTGATGGTAATGATGGTGATGGTGATTGTAATGATGGTGATGGTGGTGGTAATGATGGTGGTGGTGATGGTAATGATGGTGATGGTAATGACGGTGATGGTAATGATGGTGATAGTAATGGTGGTGGTGGTGGTGGTGATGATGATGATGGTAATGGTGGTGATGATGGTGGTGGTGGTGGTGATGATTAATGGTCTTGACCAATAGTCATGGTTATAAGTCTAGCAGATTTGAGACATGAACCAGACATATAAAGTAAAGCTAAAGTGCTAAACGCAAACCAGGAATCGTGGTAGAAACACCTGCCCCCCTGCCATGTTTCCTAGCGGTGGGCAAACTACGAAACATTGCTTCTCGCAACAATGATCATAATTGGAAAGCAAAATATGAATTTATTGGAAAACGTTTTTTCCTTCTGGGAATCAACTTTTGTTCCTCAATGTTTCCTGGTTTGCCCAGGACTTGTGCATGTAATGATATTCTCACTATTCTTTCTCTTTCCACTCAAAGTAGCCACGATGAAAACACAACCCGAGCACAATGAGTAGACACAGGAGACCAGACAAACCATAGATAGTGTAACCGAATGCACTGCCAGAGAAGTATTCCATCAAGCCGGTCTTATGCTGATGAGAAAATGAATGTATATTTGATATCAGTTCTGAACTATTCTTCCTACAGGTCCAGTAAGGATCATACCTTATTTAGTCTACAGTTTGTACAGGAGGAAACCTAAACTAAACTTTGTATTTTATACTGGATACTCTATCAGTTCTAACACTGTTCTCCCTTGAGGTCCAGTAAACGTCATCTCTTATTGATCCAGTGTTACTACAGGAGGAAACTTAAACTAAACTTTGTATTTTATACTGGATAGTTCATCAGTTCTAAACTGTTCTCCCTAGTGGTCCAGTGCTCCTTATTGATTCAGTATCACTACAGGAGGAAAACTAAACTAAACTAACTTTATTTATACTGGATAACTCTATCAGTTCTATACTGCTCTTCTCAGAGGTCCAGTAAGGATCATATCTTATTGCTCAGTTGGCAGAGCATTGGGCTAGTATTCCAAAGGTCGTAGGTTCGATTCCCACCGTGGCCGGGCATATTTTTCAAACTCGCCCGGTGTGGATATAAACTCAGAGAAACATCACAAACATATTCACCTGAGTACACAACACAAGCCCGTAGCTGGCTCTCAATTTCTGGGGGGGGCACCTTATTTCTATGGGGGGCACTGCAGAAAGAATGTAACAGACGGTTTGAGATGAGAAAAAATTTTTTCCGGAATTTATTTTGGCGACCTCCCCCCCCGTCGCCAAAAAAATTTCGGTCAGTGTACCATTTTAGGGGTCAAAAATTTTTTCCGGACAACAATTTTTTCCAGACACACCAAATTTTTCCGAAATCTAACACAATTTTTCGAAACATCACAAAATGTACCACAAAATTTGTCGATTACAATTGGTTTCCAGGTCCTTTATCTCAATTTTGCATACCAAATTTCGGAATGGGGGGGTGGGCACTGGGGCGCCCCCAGCCCCCCCCCCCCTCAGCTACGGGCCTGACACAACACCAACACAGAAAAAAGTTATTGATCCAGTGTTACTACAGGAGGAAACCCAACTAAATATCTTTATATAATTTATACGGGATAACTCTATCAGTTCTAAACTGTTCTCCCTAGATATTCAGTTACGGCCATTGCACATAAACTGTCCAAATTAACTTAATAGCATACCTCAGACATTCGGATATACTTCGGAATCACTTCGTGTATCACGTGACGATTGTCTTCGGAAAGACGTCGGAGACATTCGACTACTTGCGGAGACCAGTCCTTTCCTAACAACACGCCGTATGCGCGGTCTCGTGGAATGATACGAGCTATGTGAAGATTATTTTTGCTTATGCGTTCTGAATAATATGAGGCGGTGTAGAAATCAATAAATCCAAGTCGAACTCCGCTTTTTCGATTGGACACTGCGCGAATAACTTCGAGTTCGTTTTTTTCCACTGAAAGATACAGGAATCTCAGTTAATTCACCATCACCACGGCGGAAAAACGTTTAGTGTTATTTGTAGGTAAACTCTGGAATATGCTAACTTTGCATATAAAGAAAGAACAATCGAATAAGCTTGTGGAACGAGTTTTTTTGGGAACAATATTCTTCAAAACATTTTAGTAATTTATACATATATAGTAATTTAGTAATTTATATAATATAGGGTGTCCCAAAAAGCCCCCCAAAACTATTCAAATAACGTATTGTTAGAACTTGAATGCCTCAGCACTCTGCTGAACCCACAAGTGCATAAAAGCTTGACATAAGTAAATTTTATGCATAAAGAAACTGTTTGAAAGAATGTTTGTAAGAGAGATTTATGTAATAAATCCTAAAGTCTATCAGAGGACAGACGCACGGAATGACGTCACACAAAACCTTATCCAATAGCATTCCCTTATTTGAATAGATCATGTACGTGTGACATTTGTAAAATTTCGACTTTTTCAAATTTCCAAATGTGGGTTTTCTTTTTATTATATAAAACAACTAAATAAGATTTTGCCGTTGTTTGTTCAGTTATAGATATACCGTATGACGTCATAATGTGGGAAGAAACAAAAAGCGACCCACTCGCCTCGGCGACTCGTGAGCCTCTTTTTCATTGTGCTTCCCACATTATGACGTCATACTGTGCATCTATAACTGAACAGACAACGGCAAAATCTTATCTATTTGTTGAGTAGCTATTTTGTGTAACACTCTTGAAATAAAATTTCCATTCCACCAGAAAGAATGGTTTAAAGTGCCTATATCACTTGTGGGACCTTTATGGATTTGAAAAGAGCGTAAAAAGTTAGTTAATAAGTTCAAAAGATTTTTTTGATTTAGTGCAATAATTTTGAAGATACAGGCCTCTATTAAAACTACCTACAGTTCCTGAGTCCCAGGCTCCTGGGGTCTAAACACGGCTATTGAATTTGGCCTTTTTCGAAACTGTCCATTGTGCATATAGGAGCCTGGGACTCAGGACTGTGCATATAGGAGCCTGGGACTCCTTTCCTAACAACACGCCGTATGCGCGGTCTCGTGGAATGATACGAGCTATGTGAAGATTATTTTTGCTTATGCGTTCTGAATAATATGAGGCGGTGTAGAAATCAATAAATCCAAGTCGAACTCCGCTTTTTCGATTGGACACTGCGCGAATAACTTCGAGTTCGTTTTTTTCCACTGAAAGATACAGGAATCTCAGTTAATTCACCATCACCACGGCGGAAAAACGTTTAGTGTTATTTGTAGGTAAACTCTGGAATATGCTAACTTTGCATATAAAGAAAGAACAATCGAATAAGCTTGTGGAACGAGTTTTTTTGGGAACAATATTCTTCAAAACATTTTAGTAATTTATACATATATAGTAATTTAGTAATTTATATAATATAGGGTGTCCCAAAAAGCCCCCCAAAACTATTCAAATAACGTATTGTTAGAACTTGAATGCCTCAGCACTCTGCTGAACCCACA